CTGCCCCAAAATTTCTCGGGAAAACACTTTTTCTTATTAATTTTGGTGCGTAGAATCCAAAACAATTCGTACTTTTTCGATCGGGCTTCTCAATCAAAAGTTATGGACTAGAAACCAATTTCGAAAGAAAATTCAAAGGGCTGTAACTTTTGAACTACTAGTACCAAAAATCTACTGCACCAAAATTTCTCGGGAAAACACTTTTTCTTATTAATTTTGGTGCGTAGAATCCAATACAATTCTTACTTTTTCGATCAGACTTCTCAATCAAAAGTTATGGACTAGAAAACAATTTCGAAAGAAAATTCAAAGGGCTGTAACTTTTGAACTAGTAGCCCAATCTTGGAACTGTTTGAAATTATGGATTTGACGCATGGTCTGATGTATATAGTTACTGGACTATAAAGTAATACATCAAATATTTAGGTTGCGTTGCACCATCCGTGCGAAATTCCCAACATGGAGAAGCATTTCCGCCTACCCTTAAATCAAGCTGTACTTGTCGGTATAAGGCCAACGCTGATAAACATGTCTGCTGAATTGAGGCACTACACGCCAAACATCCGAAAGTGTTATTTGACCAACGAAAAGTATTTAGCCAGTTACAGGTATTACACGCAACAAAATTGTCTTTACGAGTGCTTGGCGAACTATACTTTGGAGCTATGTGGGTGCATCCCCTTTTATTTTCCACGTAAGCACTGTAGCTACTCAAGTTTAATTATCTACCTCTCTCCTTTCGCAGTCTTCCAAGGAACCAGGGCATGTGGTCCTGCCAATAATGAATGTATGAGGTTTAGTAGACGTGAGTACGAGTCTAGGTTTATACACAAGGAGATGATGACAAATTTCTGTTGACTGAATTAAATGGACGCAAACTACCAACAATAAAAAAAATCCCTAGCGAGAATAAATCCCTCCCACTGCGTTTGCGCTACAAAGAAGTAACCGATCGAAATCTGTCACCGTCTCCCAGTCAATTAGATATGGGGCCAATACGCATCATTTGTAGTTAAATACATGGAAATTGAAAGCAGCAAAAATTCCTCTCAAAGGTGCGCATGTTTACCACCGTGCGTCTCGCTCTCCTACGATGTCGAAACATCTTACACTGATTGGAACTGGAAAGGAAAGGTTAAGGCACTTTACAACAACGACAACATTTCCTACAACGGGTAAGTTACATTTTCATAACAAACTCGCAAGCATCCCCTTTGTTTCAGTGTGCACTTTTCAAGGTTAAGCGTTTATTACAAAGATTTGCAGTTTTTGAGCTGCATGAGGAGCGAGATGTTTAGTGCGTTCGACTTTGCTTCCAAAGTGGGCGGTCTACTTGGATTATTCATTGGATTCTCGATTACGTCGGCAATTGAAATCGTGTACTTTGGTACGCTTCGAGTTGGTTTTAACATAAGAAGGCACGGCATCGGCGCTTGGTTTGGAGAAACGAAACGTATGAAGGCCCACTAAAGACCGCAGGCACTATTTATTGATTTTGAGCACATTGAATTTTGCCTTTTATGGGCGTTTCCCGAGTAAAAAATATGAATTTTAGGATACCTACTGTAATGTGTTTGAAGCACTAGAATTTTTCTGCGATTTTGAAATTAAGAAGTTCTTGAATTTCTGTGATTTTTACTAATTCTGTTTAGGTTTTCGAATTAACGCGTATGAATTTTTCCCCCATTTTGAAAATCGCATAGTCGTCTTTAATGTTACTATTTGTAATGAGCTGCTACCCGTTAGTAATGCTTGAACCCCTAAACCTTAGAGATATATACTGAATTGTATTTAAATTTTAAAACATAGCCGAGTTTAAAAAAAATAAAATTCTGAGAAATATGTGGTCATTTTCATATCCAACAATTAGCCTCTTCAAAAAACCCTTCACACGATTATGACATTGAGCGCGGGTATACCATCCTTTTGAGAGAGAGAAAGAGCAAGAAAGAAAGCAACATTTTTTCATCAACATAACCACCTTCAAGAGCTACACAATCATTCCAACGCTTTTCGACCTTTTCGATAACAGGCTTCTAAAGCGACTTGTACCGTCAGGTAATTTTCTTGAAAATAACGTCACTTTTATGCTGTTATACACGATTGTAAGGACAGTCGTAGTCGAACCAAATTTTTCCTATACTAGTGTAAAGTTATTCGAATAATTGATTCTTTTGAGTATTATTTACCGTTTTATACGATTAACCTTCCGTGTCAGACGTTAGCATTGCTACTACGCAATACTTTTTGTGCAGTGCGATTTACTAACACTTTTATTTTTTTGTCTGTGTTGTTTTTTGTTACAAAAAAGGTTGAACACGCCCCTCTGACCTCAAAAGGTTGCGACCCGAATTTCCTAGGTAAATTTTGTTATTTTCGTCGATTTCCTTGCTTTAACGTTTGATTACATATTAGTTTTCGAGACAATCGAACTGTAATTATTAGGTACATTTGCTTGAGATTCACTTAACAATTCTAAATCCGTTGTTTCTGCGAAAGCCTGGTTTGGCATTTTTACCAAAAATTAATTTAAATTCAAATAAAGAACTAAGACAGAGAATAATTCAAGAATGTCGAAATATTGCAAAACCAACATTTGACAAGAGTTTGAGAATATATTATACTACTGTTTTACCAATAACGGAAACCATTTTGAACATTTATTGAAATAAACGCCAACTTTAGAAAATGTATGATATTAGTTTATTTTTTGATTTGCAGGATAATTACTAACCTAAATGTAATGCTATTTAGTATGGTTGGAAAGTATCACACATAGGGGGTTCACTATTTAAGATTTAAAAGTTGGGGTGGCCAGGGCGCAGTGGGTTGGAGGGGGTGCGTCGCCAACTATGTCATTGTGATTCCCCCTCCGAATTACCGAAACGGATTTTGTTTTTTTTTAATATATCGTTTATTTACATGGAGGGGTTGGTAAGTTTTCAAATTACCACCCTGTTGGTCTAATCATTTTGCTTTGCTTTGGAAGAAATATGTTCCAAAAATGAAATTAAGTGGATGTACCGTTGAATGCTTTTTGTCATTTAACACGGGTAGTCCCTAATACAAAACGCGTTTTCTACAATGCGATCAAATATGAGTTGCTTTCGAGTCACCTTTGGAATTTTTGTTTATATGGGAATTCGTATTTAACTTGAACTTCCAAAGGCGACTTGACAGCAACTCATTTTTGATCACCCGTTATATAGTAATGTAAGACGCATTTCATTTGTCATTATTTTACTTACCGCCGTCCCAATAATTACTACTCACAAACCAATCAAGTAACAATTAATCACCCAACCGCCGCGCCGTAGCAATAAAGCATTGATTTCAGTTATTGCGGTTAGCGCTTTCAAAATGAAACTTAAGAAAAAAACACCTCAATTAACTAAGACAAAGTTAATTCGAGTTGGTGCTTGGAACGACGACAAATGTACTAAGCGCTCATTTTTCTTTCATTTGAAATGTTACCTGGCTCAGTACTGCCATGCAACCACAATTCACGGCCTGAAGTATGTTGGGGAACGCGGACGCCATTTCATAGAGAGGTACCGAGCGTGTAATGCCAGAAGATTAAAACAATATTTCAGGGTGGTATGGGTTGGAATTGTAATCTTCTTTTGCGTGTGCTGCGTTTCGTTGACTAACAGAACATTTTCCAAGTGGATGAGTTCACCGGTGATGGTGACGTTCGAAACCCAGGAGACCACCATACACGAAATACCATTTCCGGCGGTCACCATCTGTCCAGAGGCCAAATTTGATCCTCAAAAGTTCAACATTACCGAAATGTTTTTGAGAAGGGGACGTAATGGAACGTTTAGCAAATTGGAGTATACTAAATGAGAATCGACCAATTCCGTATAACATATGTTTTAGGGAGGAGTACTTGCAAGCAGCCTATTTGATTTGTGACACTGAGTTTGATATATCAAACTGGAATCAAACTCTGACTCCCTACTCGAGCTACAAACTGTACGATGTACGTTTACTCCGTTTGCAACATATTTTTTTCATAAAGGCTAGTCTTGGAAGGTGTTCCTGTCCCATAAGCGATGATATAGCATAAAATGGCAACAAATATTTTAATCAACGTGACATACTCCAAGGACATCCTTTATTAAAAAAAACGTTTTAAATCAAAATGATTTTTTTAAATTTAGATACATTCATACTATGGTCTATTTACAATGGCTACTATAAAATGGTTGGGCAATAAAATAAATAATATATCCCATGCTTTTGTTCCCATTATTACTTCAGAAGGAGTGTGTTACACATTTAACATGCTTCCTTTGGAAGACATCGTTAAATTTGGGTGAGCCGCATTTCAAAGTCTTTGCAATGAAAAAAGTTTTAGGGTAGAGCCGGATGTGCGATCAAAAGGGACGAAAGTACACCAATGGTCTCTCCAAGACGGTTATCCACCAGGCGCGCTTTCTAGCGCTTACCCCAGGCGGACCTTCATAAATGGAGTGGAAGGGGGGCTGTCCATAGACGCAATTTACACAAACAACAGCCATATAGATTACATCTGTAAGGAACCTTTGCAAGGGTTTAAGGTAGGTTGGCGTTTGAGGGAATCAAGGTAACTTCGTCAGTAGGTCGCCTTACACCATCCTTGCGAATTTCCCAACATGGACAAACACTTTCAATTACCTTTGGATCAAGCTGTACTTGTCGCGATAAAACCATCCAGGATCACGATCTCGGCCGATTTGTGGGGTTACTCTCCAAATGAGAGGAAGTGTTACCTGGCCGGCGAGAGGAACTTGACCAGTTTCCGATTGTACACGCAGCAAAACTGCCTCACTGAATGCTTAGCTAACTACACCTTCAATAAATGCCGATGTATTCCATTTCATTACCCACGTAAGATCAGATCAGATAAACAGATGACGTCATCCTCTCTTCCGTAGTTTTATTTTCAGATTCGACCCTATGTGGTCCTCGTAACAAATACTGTGTGAAGCAAAGTAAAAGTTAGCATCTATTCAGTTAATTATACTACCAATTTATTCATTACCAATTCCAGTTGATTATTTCAAAATTGAAGCCGGAATGGAATCGAGTCAACAGTGTGACTGCTTGCCACTTTGCGCTTCTCTGTCGTACGACGTGGAGACTTCACATACTGATTGGAACTGGAAAATAGCTATGAGCATTACTCCCAGTCAGGAATCCGCCGATCTAGCACAAAAGTAAGAAACGACGAAAGCCATCGTTTCACATCTCTCCATTTTCAGTGCGCATTTCTCCAAGTTGAACGTGTTTTACAAAGATTTGCAGTTTTTGAGCTGCAAAAGGAACGCAGGGTTTGGAGTGGTCGACCTTTTGTCCAATATGGGCGGATTTCTAGGATTATTTATTGGATTTTCGGTTACGTCAGCCATTGAGATTCTATACTTCTGCTCCCTCAGAATTATTTGCAATATCAAGAGGCACGGCAAACGGGCTTGGTCTGGAGAACTATAGTTGCTTTTACTCACTATTTTTATTATAAAGATAGCACGTGCACGGACACGAAATATGAAGTTGTTTGATCACGCCTGATCAATTGCCTGTACCACCTATAATAAATGATTTACAATAAATTATATACTGACTCTTAAATGCTTTGGCAGACTGTGTCTAGTGAGTACTTAATATACAGGGTGACAATTTGAAAACTTACCACCCCCCATATCTTATTAAATAAACGAGATATTTAAAAAAATCAAAATCCGTTTCGGTAATTCGGAGGGGGAATCACAATGACATAGTTGGCGACGCACCCCCTCCAATCCCCTGCGCCCCAGCCACCCCAACTTTTAAATCTTAAATAGTGACCCCCCATGTGTGATACGTCGTTGGAAAGCTCTGAAAATATGCTTTCCAACCATACCACATAGCATTACATTTAGGTTAGTAACTACCGTGCAAATCAAAAAATAAACTAATATGATACATTTGAAATCTGTCGTATTTAAAACGCAACCGGCGAACATAGACGAACTTCAAGAATGTCGAAATATTGCAAAACCAACATTTGAAAAGGTTCGACAAGAGTTTGAGAATAGATTATAACTGGCGATCAAAAATGAGTTGCTGTCAAGTCGACTTTGGAAGTTGAAGTTAAATATGATTTTCCATGCTTATTTTTTGATTTGCACGATAATTACTAACCTAAATGTAATGCTATTTGGTATGGTTGGAAAGCATTTTTTTCAGAGCTTTCCAACGACGTATCACACATGGGGGGTCACTATTTAAGATTTAAAAGTTGGGGTGGCTGGGGCGCAGGGGGTTGGAGGGGGTGCGTCGCCAACTATGTCATTGTGATTCCCCCTTCGACTTACCGAAACGGATTTTGATTTTTTAAAATATCTCGTTTATTTACTAAGATATGGGGGGTGGTAAGTTTTCAAATTGTCACCCTGTATATCTGAAGTGTTCCTGAAGAATTTCCAGTGAGCCTTTTGGAATACTCTGTAAAGATTCCTTGACGAGTACGTGAACCACGTTCATCAAATCCTCGCGTAAAAAACTTTAAGTAAATTAATCAATATGTAATGATATCACGCCAAATCTTTTTGTTTCTTTAATTGATATTCACTCTATAAAGGCAAACATGCCTTCTCAAATATTGTTTCCTTGATTGATTATGTTAAGAAATGTACAAGTTGTGTCACGCAAACCGTTTCCTAAAGATATTCAGGCTCACAATGATAATTTAAATGTGGAAATTTTCGTAAGATAATTTTTCAAACTCTATCGAAAGAAAATATGATTATGGATCGTTTCACGTCCTGTTTCACTTCCGGTTTTGCCGGATGTGGATAGCAACCCTGTATTGCATTTTCGAAATCTACATACAAATTCATGTCGTTTGATACCACGTTTCCCTATACTCAGCTTCAAAGGTTTTCAAGTTATTCCAGAATTTTCAAAATTTTTGACACCTGCAGACTGGTATCTCGGATACACCTCCAACATTGCATTTTATAGAGCCGTTCACACACGCATACATCCCGCATACAGTATTGGCGACTAAATTTCGGTCTCTCGCTAGCCCCAGACTCCCGGCGATTTTAAGGGTTTGAGGAACTGATGGATAGAGGTTGAAGTAGTTACATGCCGGATAATTCAATCAAAACCTACACCAGAGCTCTGGGCGGATGCTGTACCAACGGCATGCCATTTTAAGAATAGATGGCCTACGAGGAAACTTCAATGAAGGACCCCGTACGAGTTTTGGAAGAATAGGGTATCGACCATCCACTATTTTGGAAAATTTGGATCAAACGCATTCATTCTGAACACATCTCCAACAAAGAGGAAGGTAGAAAATAGATCGAATGAAGGGATTTTCGTGGGGTACGCCGATTAATCTATCGGAATAATTAGTTTGCAACAGAATGTGGTGCAAAAACCACAAGCTGAGCCGATTAGAAACGAAAATGGCGTATGTAAGTCACCGAATGATCACGAACATGATAGCATCCTTTTCAAAGGGGAGGAAGTGCAAGAATTGTTTAGAAGACTGTTTCAAATCGAAAAGACCGAATAATCATTAGAACTGGATAACCTGGCCGGCCGCGAAAGCATACGCACGTCAAATGGACATAGAATCGGCAGGTTTCGATGAAATTTCCACTTCTAAGGTCGTATTGGGTCCTGTTTCTAAAAAAAAATGCAATGACCTCCGAAGTAAAGTCTCTCATGAAGAAGGAAACATGGCAAGTGGTGGACAAACCGGATAATCAGCGAAGTATTGGGAACAGATTCATTTTGCGAAACAAATTTATATGTAAAACCTCCACATGGAGTACAGGAAAATTTCGTCTAAATTAATCGGAATTCCCAAATTATGAATTCAAGCGCCAGCGTGGCAGAGATCGATATATTCGGAACATGGCAATTAGAATTCTATACGTTCTATCTTCCGCTTTCAGCTGTTTTTTCTACTCGAGTTCGATGCGGCTTACGAAGAAAGGGAAATGAAAATGGACACCAAAAATTAAGGCAAAGAAAATGCGCTGTCATTTCTGGCGGAAAAATTGCGTGGTTAAATTCCATCAATAGGCGGAGCCATCTATCAGATCGCTTCAAATGTTACGGGAGTCCTTCGACAAGTAGTAGTTTCTAGCACTTCTCAATCTGCAGTATCTATCAAAGATTAATCAATATAAAATCTCTAAACTTCTTGGTCTAAGAGCCTCTGAAGGTTTCCATGAAAATCCTTAGGTACTGAAAGTCTGTAAAGATTCTTCAAAAGAAACGAAATGGTCCATAAAAAAATATGAAAAACTTGTGTGGGACTTGAAATATCACGAATTTGTTCACAACGTGGTTGAGTATTTTGGCGCCCTTGAAGGATCATTGAATCGCGAATCCATACTTTTTATTTTAGAGTTTACCTTTAAATGGGTTCTACGTTCTAGGGAATGCTACCCTATTAACCCGATTCTACACTTACAAATTTTCCAGGCCACATCCCGGGTTTAAACATGAAATTTCTTAGCACTACGCGAGTAGGTATATCGATTCAAATAATATAAACTCATCGGAGGTACTTGCTGAATATGCGCAGAAGAACAGATAATATACAAAGAAACTTAAGGAGAACCGTCCAAAGTGACTATTTTAACTAATTCAGGAAGAGCAACTAAAAAGCAACTAAACAAACGTTAATACTTGGACTAATGTCAAATAAGAAGTGGGCTAAAAATTAAAAATACGAAAACAACAAAAATTGGGGAATATATTAATTGAAGTTTTAAAACGTGGAGACATAAACAAAACTAAAAAAAAATTCAGAAAAATATTAGGGTAGTCAGATACCGGAACCTTAAGTTGCTGAAGGCAACCATCACGCAGATATATAGGGCTGCTTATGGCATGGACAAGGAATTTTGAGACTAAATTCGTGAGCTCTTCTCCAATAGTCTTCTATACCCTATGGTTTTGAATAATCTCCAAAGGTAGGTAGTCTAGGGAATGCAATCCCGCAGCAAAATCTCAATCCCGGTATTTACAATAACTTTAGTATTTGCGGGATCGTTATATGTTAATCCCGCGGGATCCCGGTATTTGCGGGATCCCGCAAAATTTTAAAAATTGGCAAATAAGCAATTTTGCGGTTAACCTCTGTATTAAAATAAATCGCTAATTATCACAATATTTAACAAAAAAGTACCTTCATCCTAACTTAGAACTCAAAAAAATCACCTGTAAAGCACAAAAAGGTGAAATCATAGTACATTTTTAAGGAAAAAAGTTTAACAATTATTTTAAAAATAATTTCTCCGTTATGCGTTTCATTAACATACCAAACAGAGTCGCCCCCTTGGTCGACAAATTCCTCAGTCCCGCAAATCCCGCAAAAATGATGCGGGATCCCGGTATTTCGGGATCCCACGATCCCGGTATTGTGTTCTCTAGTAGGTACTTAAAATGCATATATTGAAAAGCCCTTGCGACCCTTAAGAGGTGTATTTATTGATCTTCAAAGGTATTTAAAAGCTTTGAATCCAAGGACTTCGAATCGCCGCCAAAGTCTAGTCTTAAAAAACCTTTTAAGAATGAAAGTATTTAACATTCCTCATGAGCCTTCAAAGGTTTCAGGATTTTCCTTTCTTTGCAAGTTTTTGGAGGCTTTTAAGATTATTTAAGACCCTTAAAGAGATTGTACAGTGTTTTAAGAGCTTTTACTAATTTTTGGAAGTTATTAATTCTTATGTTCCTCCGGAAAATTGTAAGGAGAAATTGTGGAAATTGCAACAAAAATGTGCAAAAATTCTTAGAAAAGTGAAACATTTATAGAGATTTATAAGGAAATCCCAAAAAGATTCTAGGATGTTGGTAATGTTCTATGTGCAATGGGAACAATTTATTTATACATGAAGGCGCTGTGCATCTACCACTTCTTGGAGCAGTAAAAAATAGAAAGAAATAAGATCATAATTTAGATAAGAGTGCAGAATCAAATCAGTATCAGGTTAGCAGATCTCTAAAATCGGTCAAAAGGAGCCTTAAATAATAGTAAAACTATTGCTTCCGTTAGGACAAAGAAACATTGAGTCATAACTTAGAAAAAACACTGATAATTAAACGACACTTTACGTTGATTGAACCGTTGTATATTTGATCAATATAAAATAAAAAATTCATAATTAATTTCCGAGTGTATACTCATAATGTAAATCAATTAATTCCTACAATAGAATATAGTCGAGCTTTTATCTGTAACATCTTAAACTCGTGCAATACACCTTGTAATTAAAACAAGGGAGTTTTTAAAACGATTCATTAAAAATAAATAAAATATGGCGATGGTATCGTATAACACAGTTCGCTTAGTGCGTTTTTGAACAGAAGTTTTTGCATAGCTCACGTCACGGAATTGCATTTCAGAGTTAATTTAGTTCTCTAAGCGAGTATGTTTGGTACAATACCGGAAATTGTGAAGAAAAGACCTACGTTGATTAGCATGG